GATTTCCAATTCTTTGCCACCAGAAAAAGAGCTACTATAAATATTTTTGTGTAAATAGGTCTTTCCCCATTTCCCCTTTTTTATGACCTCTTTGGGATACAGACCTAGCAGTGTATTGCTGGATCAAAGGGTATGCAGTTTGATTGCCCTTTGGGCATAGTTCCAAATTGCTTTCTGGAATGGTTGGATCAGTAGTGAACTCTACCAAAAGTGTATGTGTCACAGCTTTCTCACATCCTCTCCAACATTGATCATATCCTTTTTTTGTCATATTAGCCAATCTGATCGGTATGAGGTGGTACCTCAGGGTTATTTTAATTTGCATTTCTCTAATCAATAGTAATTTAGAGCACTTTTTCATATGACAATAGATAGCTTTGATTTCTTCAACCAAAAACTGCCTGTCCCTATCCTTTGACCATTTATCAACTGAGGAATGACATGTATTCTTATAAATTTGACTCAGTTTTCTATATATTTGAGAAATGAGGCCTTTACCAGGGACAGATAGTAGTAATATTCTCATGTCTTATGTCCCTCCCTCAAAGTCCTGCTTGGATATCTTGTCATAGTATGAAGATGACTCTGAGTGCTCAAAGACTGCCTCAGCACACTCTGGCAAGCTGGCAGTCCTATCAGCTGGACAAACAGGGATCAAGGAAGGGCCCGGGGATTGACGAAATGTCTGACGCTCCAGTGCCAGCCTCCGTTTAGTGATGACCAGGCAGAATGAGGTTTTCTGGCCACTTCAGTGGGCAGGCCCTCTCTACAAAGACTTGGAAAGACTGTCATCTGCACTGTTGGATAGAAATGAAAGGGCCAGGAAATAATAATCAAATATAGCAGTGATCTAATTTTGTGTAGTGATACACCTCAGTTTTTTTAACCAAAAAATTGCCCTATCTCCTTTTATAAAGCAATCTACGCAAATAATTTTCTTAGTTTGTATTTTATTCAAATGAAAATAAGGCCATAAATTATTATAAACATTAATAAATATTGTAAAATTATAAATTACTATAAATTAATAATTTTATAAATCACAAACATGTTAAACGTTTGCAACCCAAGAAATGCAGATATTTAAATGAAGAACCCTTTTACAATTTTTATATTTCTAACTTGTGAAAATAATAACCATAACAGTATCATTAATGTAATGGAGGGGCTTTTTTTTTGGCATAAAGTTTCTCAGAATGTAGACATTGTTATTGCTACGTGTAATTCTTTTTCAACCATAGTAAGGATGATTTGCTGTCTTCATAACAGCTCTAATAGCAAAACTCCAATTTGCACAAATAAGATCTTACAAATGGTAGTAAAATTTTTATTTTGTTTGATAAGCCAAGTAACCCGCAGTCTAAAAATATTTTCAGATTCAAACACTTGTTTGAGGATATGAGGTAAAGTAACGTAATGGATAGAGGGCTGGCCTTGGATCCTGGGTTCAAGTCCTTCTAACTCATAATGGCCGTAGGTCCCTGGACAAGTTACTTAATCTTTCAGGGCTGTGTAAGCAATTCTCTGGTGCCGACCTGTATTAGCATAGGGACTTTCCTCCTCTGAGAGTCCAATCTGATAAACAAATCATAGGCCCAGTCCCCATTCCTATTCTATCACAAGGCAAGTCTGCTAACTGTTCTTGTGCAATTGGAATAAGTCTAAATGAACCATATTTGTCCACGGCAAATGTGTTTCCTAACACAACTGGCCTCTATCAGTGCAGAATCTGTTCTTTTTTAAATTTTTTGTTTGTTTGTTTTTAGGCAATTGGGGTTAAGTGACTTGCCCAGGGTCACACAGCTAGTAAGTGTCAAGTGTTTGGTCTGAGTCTGAGACTGGATTTGAACTCAGGTCTTCCTGACTTCAGGGCCAGTACTCTATACACTGCGCCACCTAGCTGCCCCCATCAGTGCAGAATCTGATACAGTTCTTCCAAATTATACCATTTTCACTATATGTGTGTGTGTGTATAAATTACATTGAAATTTCTTTAGATGTGACATTGCCATCAATAAGCTTACAAAGTAAAAGTCTTTCCTAACATCAGTTCCAAAATGTACTGCACATAATCAAATGAGCATCTTTAACATCTGTTGCTTCATCTATGGCTCTGTTCCTGACTTCTCCATCTTGCCGTATCCACCTCCCTCCCTTATCTCCCTTTTATGTGTTGTCTTCCTCCATTAGAATGCAAGCTCGTGGAGGGCAGGGATTGTTTTTCTTTTAGTTTGCAATTGGAGCACTTAGCACAGTGCCTGGCACATAGTAAGGGCTTAATAAATGCTTTATCTATCTTGCAATGCAATATAGGAAGATTTCAGTTCCCCAATTATGTCTTCACAGAAATCTTCAGACATATGGGCAATTCCTCCTGCCATATTACTTGCAGATGGAACCATCTGAAAGGGCTTTCTGTATGATTCACCAAGCATCACTTCATTATCAAAAACTGTAGGGAGAACAAATGTTTCTCATATTGAATGAAGTTTTTAACTCTTAGCAATTCAGTAAGAAACCTTAGATGATGCAAGCAGTCTTTCTGATGTCACAGTAATGGTTTTTTAAAGTCTTTTTTTTTTTTGCATCTTATTTTCTCTGGAAAAATCGTCTTTTCAATATATTCTGCAAGTACACTTTCCAAGATACCCTTTCAATTGATTAGATTTCATGCTTTCTGCAGCTAAAGCATTTAAATAAAGCAAACAGAGGTTTTTCCTCTTCATCAGTGAGCACTTATGAAACCCAATGAAAAGGTAATGAGTTGTATTTTCTGAATCTGGGCTTTTTACTTTGTTTTTCTGTGTTTCCACTACTTTACCTGCCTCTACTGTCCTTGCCTATGTTTATTCCACCTGTGCCAAAGAATTTTCTCTTCAAATTGTTTTATCCATCATTACAAAATACTATTTTTTCAAAAAATTACAAACAATAAATTTAAGATGATTAAATGCAAATTTAATTATTGAAAAGTTTCCATTACAAGGGTGTTTTCTCAGTTTTTAATTGGTAGCATGGGAGGTGGAGGGAGACAGCAATAGATGCCAAAAAGAGAGAGAGAGAGAGAGACAGAGAGACAGAGAGAGACAGAGAGAGAAAGAGACACAGAGAAGGCCATTGAAACTTTTTTTTTTAACACTGAAGAAAAAAGAAGGAAACACACATAAGCAGGACAGTTTTGAAATTATCATATGAAATTATTATTTGCTTTTTTAAAAAGCAAGCAGTATGAAATAGATTCATAATTTCATATACAACCTTTTTGTGTTCTTTGGCATGTATAAGCTCAGAATTTTTAAAAAGAATGGATCTAATAAAAAGAAATTTTCAAACAATTATCTATATCCATTCCCAAATTGTTTCAATTTTTAAGTTGCATTTTTGAAAAAAAATTTTACTTATAAAATGAGTGATATTAAGAAATACAATATTTTAATAGTATTGTAAATTTCTATATAAAGATTATTTAACTCCAAGTTTTCCACATTCAGATGCAACCCAAGGACACTGTGCCATGAGCCTATGCTAACTGATGGTGGTGGTGGCATAGTGTGCCTGCAAAGAAATTAAATTCATGCCAACTCAAATTTGACCATGTTTACACAGACCATGTTACATAATCACAGTGTATCATTCACAGTCAGTTGGAGTGAATTTGCCATGTTAATCTTGCTTTTGTTCTCTTTAATTCACTGAAAGAAATAGATGTGCTTACGCAAGAGTTACCCTTGAAAATATACAAGAATTTTTACTATTGCTTCCTGCCCCTTACCCTCAAGCCTCAGGGTGATGCATGTCACAATTTAAGAGCTTAGGAGAACATCTTGTATAATGCTTTGAGAGTCACTGGTATTTAAAAAAAAAAAAAGTATCACAGCATCACTGTTAGCATTTGACAGAATACAGATTTTGTAATAAAGAGAGGGAAAAAAAGTAGACTCAAATTTCACTGTGATCTTATAATGATAGCACCAGAGTAATCCCAACATGAAAAACCAGAAAGCTATCTTTATCAAGACCACAAATAGAACTCATTGAGAAATTGCTGCAAATATTGACAACAGGTGAAAAAATATTTTCTGGACCTTTAAAAAAAACTTACACACGTCCATACTGTGTAAGTTCTCCTAGCATTTCGTGACGCTGTGCAACCTGAGAATCAGCAGTAAAAGCGATTAGGGCAAAAGCAAAGCCTTCACTAGTCTAGTTCCATTATCAGGGAAAAATGAAACGCCAAAGACAAGCATTAACAATAAGAGAAAAAACAGATCCATTCTCTATTTTAATAACTTAAGGACTTTAAAAAGATTTCATTTTTTAAAAATGCAGTACAATTTTAATTAGAAAATAACACAGATCAAAAGAACTTCATATTAAATTACAGAGCAGAGAGGAAACACTCTTCCAGCCAGTGATCAACTTAACTAACTGTACATTTGTATTACTTCTGCATCATAATTAACTCATCATTTTGTTTAAAGTCCTAAAATCAAAGTGAACTTTCTTTTCCTACAATTTAACTTTTAATTTTTACCTAGCCATACACATTGGATCTAAAAAAAATTAAAGTCTTTAAAATGTATCTTTAAATTATAACATGGCATAATACTATGATGCCTCCACAGCATTTAAAAAGTATTTTAAAATTACAATGTAAATATACTATGTTACACCTTCTATACAACATGTAACTTTTATAATTTGGGATAAAGTTCAATTTTAAAATGAGTCCTAAGAATGGCGAGTAACCGGTAAAATAATTTCAACTATGAAATTCTGCTTCAAGAGACCCACATTCTAGTGCCAAATTTATTTCTTCCAGGGCAGCTAGGTGGCACAATGGATAGACTGCTAGGTCTAGAGTCAGGAAGACTCTTCTTGGTGAGTTCAAATCTGGCCACAGACACTTACAAGCTGTGTGACCTAGTCACTTAACCCCTATTTGCCTCAATTTCCTCATCTGTAAAATGAGCTAGAGAAGAAAATGGCAAACCACTCCAGTATCTTTGCCAAGAAAACCCAAAAGCGGTCACAGAGAGTCAGAAATGACTGAAAACAACTAAACAACAACAAACAGCACTGATTAATACATTTCTGTTGTTCTACCTTAAAGACATGTCCAACAACTTTGTCCCAGTTAGGAGGTATGAGTAACAACCAGTATTTGCAAATCAAACATTTGGACTGCACAGAACCTCAAGAGATCAGCTTCCCTCCCCCCATTTCATGGAGAACTTCACAAAACATAATTGGAAGTTTTCTACCTTATTTTGAATAGTTTCCAAGGAAGTTTCCTTCGGAAAGGCATTGGCATTTTGGAGGCCTCTGAATGCTATTTTCTTAAGAATGCAAGAGTCTTGGAGGGCCTTCACTGAATGCCAAGTTGCCCATGCCTTTTTTTCCTTTCTTCATAAAGGAAAATGTTCCAAAGTTAGAAAGTCAATAAAATGCCACAGAAACTGAGAGTCACTTGGTTAAGATCATCATTTTGAAAACACTGATCTAATTCCAGATCATCGAGTGCCCACTGAGGATGTAACAGTTCTCAATCTAACTCATAAGGAGGATGGACGCCATAGGACCATAAATTTAGAGGTGGAAGCGGCCATCAAGTGCAACCCCCTGATTTTACAGATAAGGAAATTAGATACAAGAGTGATGACCCTTACCTAGGGGTAGACAGGATGAAAGCATCTGAAGCGACATTTGAACTCGGGTTCTCCTCACTGGCTAGCTACTGTAGACTAAACCTGTTAAACATGCACCAATCAATATCCCTTCCCACAATTCCAGCTGGAGAGTGGGAAACTGATGAACACTTCCCCACCTCAGCTCACACCAAGAGTTGGGAAGCAAAGCTGAAAGCAGGCTCCTCTAGATTTTTTCAAACCAATTTGAACCTGAAACCTTTCCGCTTACCTCTGTCTCCTGTTTCCTAGGGAGATGGCTACTTGCACAGGGGTTTTCAAAAAAAATCATTATTATTTTCAATGCCGACAAATTTTTGCAAGCACCTCTCTGAAACCGATTATCAGCTCAACTCCAAAGTCTTTTGCATGTAAGTTTTTAACAATTATCTCAGGCCCACAGCCTGAAACAACTGTACTAGAACTAAAAGGTGACTCTAAGCAACCAAGAATTTGTAATTAAAATTTTTTAAAAATGTTACCCACTATGCTGGCTACCATTTTTTTCCCCAGGTCATTTAATTTCACCATCATTAGACATATTACTGATGACTTAAAAGTTGGAGCTGGTAAAAATTTGGGGGACTGGTAAAAATGACAGATAGGAGATGAAGATTTACCTAAGTTTAATTTACAAGGCAAGTCTATGTAGACCGTGAGCCATCAGTGAATATTCATTATTATTAATAATAGCCTTGTAAACCTGAGTATCTAGGGGCAAGGGAGATCCAGCACTGTAGGCATAAGGCTTTCTAATAAATCTAAAACCCCCAAGGACTGGCAAACTCTACATGGAAATTAAAAGCCCTTTGGCAATTTTCATGAGTTTGGCTGGAATGAGTTGGCCCAAATTCCTGGGATATAACTGACAACCTTGAGCAATAGGTAGCAGCACCACTGAATGAAAATTAAAGTTTAATTAAATTTTTATTTCTTGCCTTGAGGAATTTGCTTCCACCTTGTTCAGCTTTTAACCTATTTCCCAAACTCCCCCTCTGCTACTTTTTAGGCAGAGGTCTGGTCAAGAAGTCAAAAGGATTATTGTGGAGTAACAGAACATCCCCATCCAGAACCAATTACTACAGATCACCATTTCTCAAAGTATGGTCAACAGATCCTTTCAGGGGATCCTTTAGGTCAAAACTATTTTCATAATAATACTAAGATGTTTTAATTTCAAATATAGTAAATATCTATAGGTATAACCCAAACAAACAAAAGCTCTTCGGAGGGCCTCAATAATTTTGAAGAATGTAAAGGGGGTACCAAGATCGTTTGAGAATCACTGCTCGAATCTATCTAAAATGCTGATGTGGCAGAAAGGAAAGAAGCAAATCATTTTTAAACAATTAACCACTGGCTTAGGTTGGCAAAATCATCTACACCAGGATCTCCATTTTGTCTTTCTAGATCTTGGCCTTAGTTACATGTATAAACATGTCTAAGGATCGGTTTTATTTATTTACATTTTCTGCTTTTATTACATTCTTATGAGCTACATTAAAACATTAACAGTTAAACCTCAAACAGCTGCAAAATGGCAATTTCCAATTAGCTCCTTCACAAAGCTTTACATTCCCCATTAATTTTACTTCTTTTGCTGCAAAATAAGAAACTAGATTCAGGATGTTTTCTCAAACCAAGAGAGTCTGGGCCAATCTACCATAAATTCTTGGTGGTGTTTTAATTGAAACACAATAGATTCTTTTAGATGGCTAAATGGGGTTGAGAATCCACCTCATTCCTTTTGTTGAAATGCACATTATCCTAAATCTCAAATCTTCTTTTTTTAAAAAACATATATGCTACAAAGGAGTCAGTCATTCACAAACTTACGTGGAACTTCCTAAGATGGAAAGGTGGAGTATAATAAAAATGGCAGAGAGTCTCAAAACATTAACAAAGCACAGGTTTTAAATACTTGTATCAAGCGAGCTAAAAGATGTTTTAATGTTTGAGGAAGCTGCAGGCACTAAAGTAAAAAAGCATTTTGTATTAGCATGATGTTCATGATAATTCAAGGTACTTAACTGAATCATGCACTTACAGATGGGGAAAACAGGGCAGCTTCCTCAAGGTCATCGAGTAAATCACATAAGATCCTGGTCTCTAGCTGTATCCAACAGTTTTAAATGAATACATAGACTTCTTGTCTTTAACCTAAATGGTCATGGGAATTACGTTAGAGACATTACAAAGCAAGGAGGAGGGGGTTCCATGTATACCTGGGTCATGTATTCGTGATCTAGCTCCTTAAGCAATTTTGACTGTTTGCTGAAATATTTCAATTACATCAAACAGAGTTCAAACATACTCCACATCACCAACATATGCCACTTTTTAAAAAATGAAAAAAGTCCAAAAAAAATGTTTAAGGAACACCCCCCAAATACCCTCGAAAGAGAGAATACAAAAGTTCAAAACATGTGCAATTATTCATCTTCTTCCTCCGCATCATCAAAAGAAAGCAGGTTACTATTTTTTATTTGTTTCTGATTGTTTTTTGGAACCAAGGCCTCCTTTTTTTTTTCTTCATCTTTTTTCTTCTTTCTGGAGTTTGCTGTCAAACCCAAATACTTCTCATCAGAGGATCTCTTGGCTGGTTTTCTGAACATAATTTTTCCATCAGCTGGAGCTGGTTCTTCATCTATAGTAAAGAACAAAGTTAAAAACTTCTTTCAAGTTATTCCACACTAGCATTTTCTCCTCTTCTGGGTAAGCTTTGCATAGTTAAGTAACGAACATCAAAGTTCATTTCCAAAAAAAAAAAGTAGGCGTCCCAACAAAGTAAGCTATGTTCAAGACATTCTCAAATCATGACTCTTTCCCCCAATACTCCACGTCCAGGAGAAGAAAACACATGGCAAGAAAACAACCTGATAGTAACAATTTAAAAAAATTACTTCCAGGGGATGTCCTGGAGCCAGATTTTGCCTAGTTTCCTGTAACTTCATTACCTACAGCACAAGAAATTCCAACTTGTGAAAAGCATAGTTGGGTGTTTTTCTGTTTTTGGTTTTGGTTTTTTTTTTTTTGGTGTGTGGTCAGACCAATGATTTCATTGGTGCGGGAGGTCTCCCTGGTGGGGAAACACCCTCTGTCTCCCAGTTCAAAAATTCAACTGCTCTGTTATTTCTGGTCTGGGAGCAATAAGTGCTCATGCGACTTGCCTAAGATCACACAGCGAGTATACATGAAAGCAGCACTTGAACCCAAGGGATTTTGACTAAGGTTGCCTCCCATTTTAAATTTACGCTCCAAAACTTTGGTTTTAAATCAGCTAGAACTCAGAATGAATTGTCCCATAGAAGTAATTTTCCACATAGCAGTTAGTTTTCCAGAGCAACTCACAAAAGCCCATTAATTATGTATCAGACATATGGTACTAATTATATTATTTAAATTATACCTATTACATTGTCATTAGAAAATGCATGCCCTCTTCTCTACCCACCCCTCCCCCTGAAAAGCTCCTCTATATTTTAGGGAATAGGAGAGGAAGGGATTGGGGAAGATGTTCTTGGGTACTGCTATTAATGTTTTACCTCTCTATGATTTTGCATCTGTAATAAGAAAAAGTATTTCTTCAATTAAATCATTCCTTGGGTATTCTGAGGTAAGGAGCAAAAGGACTTCAGAGAACTGATGCTTAGAAGAATGATGATTCTTGAAGATCATTAATCTTCAAGAAAGGATTTGTCTATGTTCACAATATTCAACTTACCAAAGCAGATTCCAAACAAAAAGGAAATTCCAGTTAAGATAAAATTTAATCCGCCAGAATAGCCCCATTTCCTTAGTATGCTGGTTAATCTAGGTTTTATTGTATAATCTGTCATTTTTTGTCCAAAATGGAGGGAAAGGGAAATTAAAAAGTAAGTGACGGTCATTTTCCAATGGACAAGTGGTCAAAGGATACAAAATTACCAAAAGAATTATAAACTGTCATTTGAAAATATATTCCAAGTCACTTATAAAGAAAATGTAAATTAAAACAACTCTGAGGTTTCACTTTACAACCTATAAATTGGCAAGTGACTAAAAAAATAGGAAAAGTCAATTTGGATGAGGCTGTGGGAGAACAGCCACACTAATATGCTACTGGTAGAACTGTAAATTGGCCCAACTATTCTAGGTATCACCTTACTCTTTGATCTATCTGTTCCACTAAGTAAATAGTCCAAGGAAGTCAAGGACAGAAACAAAGGTCCAGTCAAATGGCATCATGCTTTGTGTCAACAAAGAACTGGAAACAAAGTGGGTGCCCATCAATTGGGGAATGGATGAAGAAATTATGATATATGAATGTAATTAAATATTATTGTACACCAAGAAATGACAAATATGAGAAATTCAGAGAAAAATGAAAATATCTCTATGAACTAAGATGGAGAAAAATAAACAGAACCAAAAGAATAATATATAAAATGACTACAATAGCATAAGTGAAACATAAACTAGAAGCTAAATTCTAAGTACTTAAAAAAATAATAATAATGGTACCAGAAAACAGAAAAGGAAATATGCCTCCTTCAAAGCAGAGAGAGAGAGATTGACTACTAATAGTAGCTGGTATTTATTTTGTGCTTTAAAGTGCGAAAAATAGTTTACAAATATTGACTCATTTTATCCTCAAAACAACCCTGGGAAGTGTTATTATTATCTTTATTTTTACAGATGAGGAAAACTGAGGAGGTTGACTTGCCCAGGATCCCACAGCTAGAGAGTACCTGAAGCCATATTTGAATTCAGGTCTTCACTTCAGGTCCAGTGCTCTGTCTACTGAACTATTTAGCTGGCCTACTACTAGGGTAGAATGTTGTATACATGATCAGAAGTGGTCACTGTCAGATGTCTGGATTAAATTCTGCACTTTGGGGTGGGTAAGGGGAATACCCCCAGAAACTTAAAGCTATAAAGACAAAAGGCATCAATATTTTTTAAAAAGTAATGTTAAAAATAAGAAAAAAAAATGTAGTCTGGTGTTTTTAAGAATGAATTACGAAACCATGAATTTTATATACTTGGGATGATACTTCTCCAGGCACTAACAATTTCTACAAAAGTCCAGTCACAGAGATGAAGAGTCCCACCCCTGACTTGGCAGGGCAGGTGCATTACATCCTGAATTATGTGGTTTCCTGATGTTCTTTTTTTCTAGTAAATGAAGATGGGCTTGCAATCTGTTTTCAGCAAAGGAAAGAGCCCACATCATGTGTGTTAAATAAAGACTACCTAGGTCTAAGAAACACCTGATGATCTAAATAAATCTTTCCTTTGGTTTCTTCAGATTATTTATAACAGCATTCCAGGTTTTCTCCTTTTAGTTGAGAATAATATTTGGCAAAACAATAGGCACTGGGCAGAGGAAAAGACTAAGAGGACAAAATAAGGGTAGGAAGCATTTTTGACCTTGAGCTTCAAGATGACTTGTACTGTTGTTCAGTTGTGTCTGATTCTTTGTGACCCCATTTAGGGTTTTGGGTTTTTGGGTTTTTTTTGTTGGTTTTTTTTTTTTGCTTTTTGGTGAGGCAATCTGGGTTAAGTGACTTGCCCAGGGTCACACAGCTAGAAAGTGTCAATTGTCTGAGTTTGGATTTGAACTCAGGTCATCCTGACTCCAAGGCCGGAGCTCTATCCACTGTACGACTTAGCTGCCCCTCCATTTAGGGTTTTCTAGGCAAAGATTCTGTAGTGGTTTGCCATTTCCTTCTCCAGCTCATCTTACAGATGAGCAAAAAGGGGCAAACAGGGTTAAGTGACTTGCCCAGGGTCACACAGCTAGTAAATTCCTCAGGCCGGATTTGAATTCAGGTTTTCCTGACTCCAACCCCAGTGCTCTACCCACTGTGCCACCTATTGGCCCCTAGTTCAGTTTTAAAAAGGAGAGTAGAACAGTGGAAGGAACACAGGATCTGGAGGTAAGATACCTGGGTTCAAATCCTGACTCTGACACTCTCTCAATACCTATGTTACCTTGGGCAAATTATGACATCTCTGGGCTTCTCATTCCTCAACTGTAAAACACATTAAATTAGGTGACTTTAAGGTCCCTTCCAGCTCTAAATCTATGTTCTATGATTTTTTGGGGGGGGGGAGGTGGGGAAAAATACAATCCTTTTGTTTGAAATCTATTACCTATTGGCTTCCTTTAGAAATTGCCAAATTTTTTTTGGGGGGGTGGGGTTTGTTTTGTTTTGTTTTGTTTTTTAGGCAATTGGGGTTAAGTGATTTGCCCAGGGTCACACAGCTAGTACGTGTCAAGTGTTTGGTCTGAGGCCAAATTTGAACTCAGGTCCTCCTGACTTCAGGGCCGGTGCTCTATCCACTGCGCCACCTAGCTGCCCCCCAAATTTTTAAAAGACAATAATTTCCCTCTCAGGAGACAAAAAAAATTCTCAGAGCATCAGTTTCATTACTATATTTATTGTGGGAAGCAGTTTTTTACCGCATAGGAATAAGCCAAGAATAGTTTAGAAAGATAGGGAGGGTCAGGTCACTTTGAGAGCAAAAACATATTTTATTGACAGAAACCTTCTTGGTTTATCCAATTTTTAAAAAGTTTTTATTGATATTTTGTTTCTTCCATCACCGTATCTTCCCCTACCTCTCCCAGGGAACTACCCCATATGACAGCATTTTTTGGAGAGAAAAAAAAAAAACAACAAGTTGGCACAACTGATCAATACATTGGAAAAAGTCCAAAACCATGTGCAATGTGTAAGCCCTGTGGCCCTCCCACCTCCACCAAGGTTGGGTATATCTTCTCATATTTCTTCATTTAAGTCCCGCTTGATTTTTAGAATTTTCTTATATTTACTTTTGATTTTTTGGAGTGTTGTTCTTTCCATTTACATTGCAGTAGTTATTGTGTATACTGTTTTCTTGGCTCTGTTCACTTCACTTTGCATCAGTTTGTATAGATCTTCCCATGCTTCTCTGTATCCACTGCACATACCATTTCTTACAACACAGTAATATTACATTACATTCACATACCACAATTTGTTTATCCATCCCCCAACTGATAGGCATCTACTTTGTTTCTAATTTTTAGCTATCTCAATAATTGCTGGAGTATATGGGGACTTTCTTCTATATCACTGGCTTCTTTAGGGTATAAGCCCAGGATTGAAGTCTCTGGTTCAATGAGTGCGGGCATTTTAGTCACCTCACTTGAATAATTCCAAATTGCTTTCCATTTCATAGCTCAAGCAATAATGTTAGTATGCCCATCCTTCCATGATTCCTCCAGCATCAGCTGTTTACATTTTTTCTATGAATATTTGCCCAATTACATGTAAAAGCAATTTTTAACATTTCTTTTTTTAAAAATTTGATTTCCATATTCTCTCTCCTTCCCTTCCCCACGCCCTGAGGTAGTAAGCAATTTGATATAGGTTATACATGCGCAATCATGCAAAACATATTTATTCCATATTAGTCATGTTGTGAAGGAAAACACAGACAAAAAAAAACACGAAAAAATAAAGAGAGTGAAAGATAGTATGCTTCGATCTGCATTTAGACTCTATCAGTTCTTTCTCTGGAGGTAGATAGTATTTTTCATCATGAGTCCTTTGGAATTGTCTTAGATCACTGTATTGCTGAGAACAGATAAGTCATTCACAGTTGATCATGGTACAA